GATGGTAGGAGGGTCTGCAGCGGGAGCAGGGGCTTGGACTAGATGACGTCCGGGACCTCGGAGGTCATCTAGTCCAACCCCCGGCTCAGGCAGGAGACCCTCACAGAATTACAGAGCTGGAAGGGACCTCGGAGGTCATCTAGTCCAACCCCCTGCTCAGGCAGGAGACCCTCACAGAATTACATACCAGGAAGGGACCTTGGAGGTCATCTAGTCCAACCCCCAACTCAGGCACGAGACCCTGACAGAATCATAGAAGGACAGAGTTGGAAAGGACCTCGGAGGTCATTTAGTCCAGCCCCCTGCTCAGGCAGGAGTCCCTCACAGAATTACATAGCTGGAAGGGACCTTGGAGGTCATCTAGTCCAGCCCCCTGCTCAAGCAGGAGACCCTCACAGAATTACATAGCAGGAAGGTACCTTGGAGGTCATCTAGTCCAACCCTCTGCTCAGGCAGGAGACCCTCACAGAATTACAGAGCTGGAAGGGACCTCGGAGGTCATCTAGTCCAATCCCCGGCTCAGGCAGGAGACCCTCACAGAATTACAGAGCTGGAAGGGACCTCGGAGGTCATCTAGTCCAATCCCCGGCTCAGGCAGGAGACCCTCACAGAATTACAGAGCTTGAAGGGGCCTCGGAGGTCATCTAGTCCAATCCCCGGCTCAGGCAGGAGACCCTCACAGAATTACAGAGCTGGAAGGGACCTCGGAGGTCATCTAGTCCAACCCCCTGCTCAGGCAGGAAACCCTCACAGAATTACATACCAGGAAGGGACCTTGGAGGTCATCTAGTCCAACCCCCTGCTCAGGCAGGAGACCCTCACAGAATTACATACCAGGAAGGGACCTTGGAGGTCATCTAGTCCAACCCCCTGCTCAGGCAGGAGACCCTCACAGAATTACATACCAGGAAGGGACCTTGGAGGTCATCTAGTCCAACCCCCAGCTCAGGCACGAGACCCTGACGACAGAGTTGGAAGGGACCTCGGAGGTCATTTAGTCCAGCCCCCTGCTCAGGCAGGAGTCCCTCACAGAATTACATAGCTGGAAGGGACCTTGGAGGTCATCTAGTCCAGCCCCCTGCTCAGGCAGGAGACCCTCACAGAATTACACAGCAGGAAGGGACCTTGGAGGTCATCTAGTCCAGCCCCCTGCTTGAGCAGGAGACCCTGACACAATCACAGCATGACAAGAGTTGGAAGGGGACCTTGGAGGTCATCTAGCCCAACCCCCTGCTCAAGCATTAGACCCTTACAAAATATGCGAGTTGGAAGGGACCTCGGAGGTCATTTAGTCCAGCCCCCTTCTTGAGCAGGAGACCCGGACAGAATCAGAGAATATCAAGACTTGCAAGGGGTCCCTCCCAGCTCTGCGATTCTACCAGGGTCTGCTGTTCGAGCAGGGGGTTGGACTAGATGACCTCCGGGCTCCCTTCCCGCGCTGTCACTCTGTATAAGGGGACATCCGAAACAGCGGAGGAAAGCGAAAGTTTCTGGGCGGCGGCGCTGCCTGGAAATCACGTGATTGAAAAGAACAAAGACCCAGAGGGACCCCCCCGCCCCCCCCCCCAGCCACAGTAAACAGGCGGGGCGCTCAAAGCAAAGCGAATTTTTCCCCGCGTTTGTTTCCTGCAACGGCCGCTTCGGGCTGGGTCG